AATAATGCCCTGCACAATCGGAAAACCCTAGCTACTATTGTAGGTTTTCCAGGAATCTTTTAGGGTTTCTTTTTCTTTAAGAACAAAAAAAATTGAAAAATCCCTGCAGTGTAGACTTGTGGTGTATCTACCTACAACTTTTGTTTTTGTCAAATTGAAGGTGCTGGTCATGGACTAACGGATACGAATATGCACCCTCTATGACAACTGAAAAGTCCCTTCTTTCAGTTTCAATCTGAGATGTGAAAATTAAGATGAATGAATCTTTGGTTAATTGGCTTTTGCTTATGTTAATTGGCAGCAAAAACAGTGGCCTCTACTACTAATTTCCAGCTTCCACAGATTAATTAAACATAGAAATTAAAATAAAAACATTGCTTTCAACTCCATGCATGAATATCAATGAAGTTAATCATACATACTTACATGTAGAAATCTGTATGAAAATGACACAAATGTATGTGTTCATGAACAGGAGTTGTATAAATACAGCAAATTCTAGATACCAAATTGGTAATAAAATAAAAATAGTTATAACACTAATAAAGAATGTATGGCATGAAGCAAAGCCAGGGAAGTGATGGGCCCTTCATAAATCACAATGCAAAGACATTGGTGAGAGCCTAGGAGAGTGTTCTACAAAGGAAAAAAAAATAAAGAAAAATGAAAAAAAAAGAATATGAATAAGTCTCTCCTTTTATTTTGTTTATATTATAGTATATGGTATATACATTATTTAAAACAAATTATACTTCTTGTTTGAGCAATGCCCTTTCTTTTTAGCTTATATAAAGCCATATCCTTCCACCTACAACTCCATAAGATCCTCTGGGCTAGCTGAGTTTGCTAGAAAAAAAAAGGGAAAGCTCTCCTCTCTTTCTCTTCTTCAAGTCTGGAGTCTCCATACGCTCAGTCTGACTCTCCTTTGCAAGATCTTCCCTTTTGAACAGTCGCTTTCTGTACCTCCCTTGCACCTCTCTGTCTTTCCCGTCCAAGTTGTAGGAGCTGTTTCCACTTCCATTCGCCCTTGCCCAATGATCCATTTGGACCTGTTACAGTGAAGAAATTTATCTGCCCAACTGCTTCCGAATTTTTAAAGTGCTAGCTGACTTTTTTTTTTGTGGGGGTGGGGGGGGGGGGGGGGGTGGGCTGTTTAGGGTTACATGGAACATGGGCCATTGGCACCATAGATCTCTGTACCAAAAATTCTGCAATTTAAGTGTTATTATTAGTTTATATTTTGTTGTGTCTGATTCTTTGAAGTTGGTATTTTATTGATGATCTAATAGGTAAGAGAGAGCTTCCTTCAGTCCACTCATGGGTGGCGATGGGATCTAATTAGCTGCCGACTCATTCATCCAAATACTGTGTTAGAAAGGATCAGCAAAAAGATACCCAGTAAATGAGTGAATGATGCGGGAGACAAATTAAATCCTAAACTTCCTGTGCTTGGACTGAAGGGAGCTCCCTCTGCTGTTATTTTATCCACTTATAATTACTCTTTTTTTTAAAAAAAATTTCCTTAGATCTTTTGTCATGTTCATATAACAATTTACGAAAGTACTTTGCTAAGGTTTTTCATTAGCTTTATGATGACAACCGATGCTTTTATATGTGTGTAAAACAATTCAAAGTGTCTTAATGTTGAGGTAATGTTGGAATATTGATCATTGTTATTAACTTATTCGTTTGTTCTTCATGGACAGTTTTCTAGATGATCTCAACTTCTTAATGGCGGTGGGTTCTCGTAATGGTTTGGCAGCTAAGAAAGGAAGCTTTATTTTGCTCTAAAGAATTATGCAGCAGTTTCCTGACTAAGGTTGAGGTTTGTTTTCTTAAAAAGCTGTATTTTTTACCTGAAAATAAAATCCTTTTGAGGGGTAACTATAAAACTAATATTATCAAAGTTGAGCCAATTAGCCAACAAGAAATGTTTCTTCGTTCTTCAAATTGTAATTGCAGGGCCTAATTAACTGTTGGTTTTGCATCTTGAATGAGCAGCTCGAGAACCCTTGAGGCCAGAAGTTTTAGGGTTTATTGTGAAGTAGCAGTTGCAGTTTCTTGTTAAAAGCTCCCTATAAAGGCAACGCATGGTAGGAGAAGCTCGCAAATCTCACGCTCTACGACAAAAACCTTCTTGGGTCTTGCTCTTTTACTGCAACAAGTTCCTAGACATGTCTCCCCAGTTCATGCGCAATTACCTAAATATCCTTGCAGTCGGTTTTAGAGTGTTGGACCAAGATCTGCAGAAATGAAAAACACCGGTCTTTGTTTGAAGCTGCTTTTGGTGGTTTATTTTCCTATGTATTCCATTCCATATGATGTTCTCCCAAGGAAGGATTGTCCTGCTTGCAAAACACTTGTCCTTGTTTTAAGCCGTCTTTGGTTTATTTTCTTATGTATTCCATTCCATATGTTCTCCGAGGAAGGATTGCCCTGCTTGTTTTCTCCTCTAGTCTAAAATGTACTATGTATCAGATGGGCAAAAAAATAGGAGTTATGTATCAAATGTGTTTTGAGTGTCGACATGGATGATGCTTGGGTGGATGTAGAGGGTAAATTCTGGTGGAGTTGGGCGCATCCGCTTCCATTGTTGATCTCCGATGTCGCATATACACTCTACAGTTTTAATCCTAAAACATTAGTAAGAAAAAATTAATTCTAATTAATTGCAGTTGCAAACATGACTTTGAGAAAGTATAATGAATATATAAAGCATATACATCTAGCAGGAACTGTCACTGTATGTATTGTATGGGAAGTTGCGGCAGTTTTCATATTGTCAACCATCCACGGTATAAATTTTCATGAGCCTATGCAATTTTTTTAAGTGTGTAATAGAAGACGGTTGTACAAGTGTAGCAGAGTAGAACTCTAATATGTAAAACAACAGTGAATCAACCAATTACTATTAAACAAGCTTCTATAAGAACATCTGATAAAGGCTATTTGGGTTTTTGATTAGCTTTTTATGCAGTTGATGCATGGATTTAAAGGATAATGGCTGCTCACATTTGTAAATTATTGCAATCACAGCCAGATGGCATACCATGGTATAATGTTGAAGTGATTGTAAGCAACTTGAAAGTAAAGAGAGCATTGAATTTGGTATCTAAAACTCTGGATAGCCAATGTGAGAAACATATTTTTTGTTTACCATCGTTTTAACAAATACTACTACTTTCCTAGTACGATATATTCGATCATATAGAAAACGAAAACTTTTGGAAAAGGAAAGAAATGACGACCAGCTATCATTCCCGAAGCAAATGGTACGAAGCAAGTATCTCTTTTTAAGCTGACTTTCCATGAAACCCTATTTTAACACGAAAAAGAAAGAGACATTGGTATATAAATAGGTGAAGTGGGGTTTAGTTCTATTCATTGCTATTGGGTTCTTTCCACTTAGTGCTTCCCTCCCAAGACACCAGTGAATGCCAAGTGCCGCACTCTGTCGCTTATGGCTCTTCCTTTTCCCAAACGAATCTCTGAAGAGAAGTGAAAAAACAATTCCCCTCTCCCCCCAACCATAGATGTTTGATCCATCTTTTACTTCCCTCCATCATTTATATTACTCTCTTCTTTTCCTTTTTACCTCTCTAAGCTTGCGAACGCTATGCTAAATATGGATACAAGCTTTTTTACCCGAGTCCCTGTCCACTTTTGAAGAATCCAACGGCTATTTCTCATGCCATGATTGATCATTGCACCATCTTTAACAAACACAAGTGCCATAGTTTTTTTGTCATTATTGTCTCATAATTATAATCTGATGGAATGAGAATTTTCCACGTGCCGATCCTCTAGTGGTCCCCCGAGGTTGATTCTAAAACTGAAAAAAAAAAAAAAAAGGATGCTCAAAGTTGGGATTTTGGTGATAAGGAGGTGTTTTGTATTTTAGCCAGTAAGATCCAACCATTGTAAAATTTTGATCTCTCCTTTATTCTTTGGGGCCCGGATGTTCCAACCCATTTGGAAAAAGGTTCAGTGTTGATGAACTGGATTAGTTTCTTAATCAAATCCCCTTGTCCAACATCAACTTTTTCAGGGATATGTTGAAAAATTGACTCTCGTTTATTTTGCACATGCATTACTTTGATTGATATGTAATTTGGGTGGTCTGATAAGGAGCTACTCAGAAAAGAAGCAGAGAAAACGGAAGTGAATATATATATATATATATATATATATATTTATAGTACTATCTAATTTGTGCTGGCGTACAGGCATGATTTTACAATCACAAGATTTAGGTTTGGACCTTTAGGACTACTGAGGAGATGAAAAGGATTACACTATAACAGATCAACACCCTTTTTTCATTAGAAACATTCATCATCTGAAACTCAACCATTTAAAGTTTTTTTTTTTCCTTCTTTTTCTTGCTGCTTCTTTGCATTACGTGTAACCAACATGATTTCAGGGTTACTAAAGTCTTCAAGCCAGATGGCCCTTGATCATCCTCGAATTCTAAGGTCATTTGAGTTAGCATCTTTGAGAGATATGTACCATCCTTTAACCTATGCCATAGAATAATATTTGCATATGCGAATAATCTGTATAATCAGTTCCTGCAATTTTCCGTATATGCACTTCAAAATTAATTTTGTACTTGAACCAAATCAAATTTTTGCACATGATTCTACTCAAGGAATTTTCTGAATAAAGATGTTTCTTTCACCTTGCAGGTGCAAGCTTATATGGCAATGGAGAAGCCTAATATGAATCTGCGACAGGGTTGTTTTAATTTTTTGAATGGTCTTCCAAGAATTAATTTCAATTGTTACGATTTAGAACTATTAGGTTCGAGTTTGACACTCAATACTAATTTTTTTTTTGGTACATAAATTTCTCTTTCTAAATATTGTCGTATATATTAAAGCTTCAAGAAGTTTTAAACCATTTTCATATTGACATAGGACTAGGGAGTTTTACCAATTCCCTTTTCTCATTTTAAAAAAAAAAAAGGGTACGACATTTCCAAGTGGACTGCTCTCTGAGATGCATTAGACGTGACAACATTCAAACAGGCATTCACCTTGGTGCACATTAGAAATTCAAACATGAATTGATGGAGAAAAAGAATTAAAAAAGATTCAATTTGAAGTTTTTAATTTCATGTACTACGTGTACGTAATAACTGGTGCAGTGGTCCAGACACTTGATATTTGCAAACTACAACTTCCATAAGAATAATGTGCCTTGCCTGAAGAGCCAGCCCCCAAGGCCCACACCATTTCTCATTTCACAGCACGGCCATGCTTTTCTGATGTGTATGCACTCCTTCCAAGTTCCAATCAATCAAAACCGAACGAGCCAGATTAAATCTTGGATGTTATTCAAACGCAACTAGCATCTGCCCACCAATGAGGGCAGCTAAAAAAGAAAAAGGTCCAATAATGTCATTTTCAAGGTTTATGTCCTTGTAAAGTGTAACCGGAACAATGGAGCATAACCATATTCTGCCTAGGAAAAAGGATAAGATGCACTATTGTTGTAAATGACTTAAGCCGCAGGGTTTGGGAACTCGAGCATGGAAGGGAAAATGATGGAGATGTTTGAAGTTGGGCCTTGTGAAGATGACTACCAGCTGGGTTTTCTGATATGTCAAAGGTTCGGTAATCAAATAAGAAGCAGGTTGGCTGGAGACCTCATTCTTCAAACCAGCTCCTGCCTTTTGCACGAACACCACAGGCACAACCACTAATCAAAGCACTCTCAGAAACTAACCCGAAGAGTTTCCGAAGATATTCGGCTGAACTTTGAGGGACTGCAGAAGGAAGCGGCGTGCCTGTTCTTGATGTAGTGCGCACAGACTGTTAATTTCATCATATATCTCCATTGAATCAGTCACCTTCTAGTCTTTCATGTGCAGATAATACTTATCAACTTCAGAAAGGAGATACTTCCATTCATTTCAAATACAGTAATGAATTCAAATGCTGATACTAGAGACGACTGTTCTGATGTACAATAAAATAAATAAATAGTCAATAAATGTACCATGTTTATACTGGGTTTGCAACTATTTGATTAAGGGGAAACTGTCAAATGGGTTATCCTTTGTATCTTTATACATATGCAGGAGAGCTTCCAAGCTGTGCTTTTGGATTTAACAGTTATGGACTGGTAAAATCTCTTTCATGCATCATAAATCTGTGCTGGGCTATCGTACACTAAAAAGTGTTAGGAAAAACACGAGTCCAGAATATAAACCTGACCAGTTCAAATCTGTGGCCATATCGAAATATTAAGATGATTGAAGAAAGGAAGCAACAATGATTGTTTGTAACCCCCCAAAGAAAAGGACTAACTTGATTTTCACTTCACAATTACTAGATATCTTTTAAAGGAGTATATTTTAAATGAAAACTAATATTTTCTTCAGACATACCTTAGGCATTCACACTGAATTCAGTGCCCCCAACTGAAGATGGGATTCTACCAGCTGGCATTGGAAGGAATTTCGTCTCTAGAGACCTTCTCGAAGCAACTAGCATTGGAGATGCATTAGCTGTAAGACCCTCAAGTGTTCGCTTCTTGTATCTAATGAAATTTAAGATCAGCTTGATAATTTAAGGTATTGATAGCCGGATTAACCTCAGAGAATACATTCATCAGAAGTTTCTGCGGGCACAGTTACAATTTAATGGATATACAGAAGCATATGATTTGAATGTTGAAACTGCATCAAGATCCCAAGTTTCAGCTCATGATGATGGAGCAGCACCATTTTCTGTGCGAACATGTATCTCCACCTTCATGTTCACCAAGCAAAAAATAGATCGAAGAGAAGGAATCTGCCACAGGGCAAGATACCTCACAACCACCATTGTTGCGAGCCAAGGATGACATTCTGCAGAATAGAGCTAATAAGACCCTTTTATTCCTAGACCTATATGTAGTTGCTGCGCTAAATCTCAAAATTCTTAGTTGTCCAAGTTGACTTCCAAGGAATAGCAGTGCAAAAGCTTCTACATGACAAACTCAGATGCATTATCACATTTTTATCATTTAGCACTGAACTCTAAATCTATTTTGTAACTTAATTCCATTACATTAAAACTGAAACCAATGTTTGCAATAAAGGTACATGATGAAAACTCAATAAGCAGACAAAAAAGAGAAGCTGTTCTACCACAAGGATCAAAAACCCATTTCCTGTCTCTCCTAGGAGATACAGAAGAGAGAAAGTAACCCATCTACATGACAGGTATAAATTGAAGGACAGAAATGTAGAGCTGCTTCTCTTCAATGGTAACGAACTTACCCCTATTGGTATTATTTTCAGGTCCAACTCTTTATACACTATGCCCGGCTGTCATTGATTTGGATGAAAAAACACTTACAATAATTGAAGGAAATCCAAAGAAGGGTAAAGTTTCTCATGTCTTCTCTACATCTTCAAAAGACTTAAACCATGATTTGGCCAACTGTGCTGAAGGGACTTGTCTCTAGAGCATTTTTATGCTGGTTCATAGAGGCCTATCATGTGACCATCAATGCATCGCAAGGCGGCAACCTGATAATAATGAACAAATTATGGATGGCACCTTCAGTTCACTATCAAGCTAAGCATAAGAATAACTAGGTGAGGGATGAAGAAATAATGGAGGCAATACCTTGCCATGGATTTCATATTTGATGGGACCATCTAGTTCAGCTCCTAATGCCATTAATTTTGTTACTGTACTGTTAATGTCATTGACCGTGAATGATAAAAGTGAAGAGTAACCATTATAAATCACATTATCACTGTAAAAAAAAAAAACTGGATCAGAATTATCTATTCCTGTCTTTCTCTCTTTATTTTTCATGGATAATTGTATATTCATAAGGCTAAGCAAATCTGGGACTACCCACAATCTTATTTATTTTGGGTATTTCTCACTAAGGTTCAAAATCATCAAGAAAATTATCAAAGCTTCCATGTCAGGATAAGGGAAAAAAATGTAAGAGTAGTACCAGGGAGACTGCATGAGAGCAAGCTTGAGAGGACCAGACTGAAGCTCGGCCCATCGAAGCGTGCAGATGCTGACGGAGAAGTCAAGCCCTTGTGAATAGAACCTTGCCGCCTTGGGAACGTCCTTGTGGAGTTGGAGTAACCACCTAAACGACGCCGCCATCTCTCTCCTCCTTCCTTTCACTTCCTCAATTCTCTGCGCTATCGCCAGCAACTTCGGCTTGCCTTGGCTAACGTTTTTGTAATCAATTTACAGCCCAGCCCAAAACATCGAATTGGTTTTCTGTTTTGAGATTCAGGCCAGCCCAGACCTCACAGAACAAAAAGGAAAATATCCTGTTTGGTACAAAGGAAAATAGGAGGGAAAGAAAAACAAATCCTGGAACTCTATTCTCTTATGATTTGGTTTAGGGGAAAAAACGAAGTATAGTTCTAAAGTTTTCCAAAACGTCGAATTCCATTTTGGGTTTCAAGATTCAAGAACGTGTTCAATTTTCTCTGGTTTTGGGCCAATAGCTAATAATAATACGTTGCCTAAAATTTCCTTTCTTTTTGGGCCTCAAAGGGGTTAAAAAAAATATTCGGGCACTTCCTCTTAAGTCTCTGGATTGAAAATTTTTAATCTACAAGGCATGGATGACAAAGCCGGAATGATCGCTTCAGACAGATGGAGTTACTCAAAATTGCAATGGACCCACAATTCATCTGATTCGTAACTATGTTGTAACATTACTCAAACATACAGACATTAAGAAGAATTACATTCTGACATAGCAGCGTGCAGATTAACGTGCATCGTGGCCAGTATTCATGTAACATAATGCTCGGACTACAAGCAGCGGAGAAGCAGTCAATCCTGTGAGCTTTTCACTTGATCTTTCACCAAAACCTGTGAGCTATGACTTGCCCTTGAAAATTTTTAATCGAGAACGTTGCCCTTTCGACCTTGCTTCAAGAAGCTTGGCCTTCAAAGTGTTATCCTTCGTTCCTGGAAGTGGCTTCGTCGAAGACTCGGATACATCTAGTTCGGGGGATGTGAATTTAGTCATCCATTGTCGCACTGGACTAGGCTGGTTCCTACGTGGAGGGAAACTACAAGAAGCCTCACCACAGTCGTTTTCAGGATGTATATTCCCACCTTCAGACAGTGCTATATGATTTCTTATCAAGTTATCCAGCACATAATTTGAGCTCAATCCATGTATCTCATCAAGCTTATTATTTCTTCCCTTGCTGCCACATTGGGTAGCTTCATCATTTTCAAATTTTTGTGATACAGTTATTTCAGTGTTCCCCACACCAGTATTTTCCTGTTCTGAATCGGCCAACTGGGACTTTTTATTTCCGTTACACATGGCTCTTGCCATCTTTTCTTCGAACTTAACCTGTAATCTAGATGGATGCCGACTTTTACTCTTCTCAGGAGATGAAGGTTTTTTCTCCGTTTCATTTGATTTCATTATTTCCTGGATATCATCGTTTAGAGCTTCACCTTCATGTGATTTCAAGTCAACACTGCTTGGTTTATTCAGCTCAAAACAATTCGAATCACTGCTAGCAGAATCTTCCTCCTCACAAATATCCCTAGCTGCACTTACAGCCTCGTTTAAAGGGACATATTCAAATGACTTCCTGCAATCCCTTCGTGACAAATAATCAGAAGGCTTAGAAACAAAAGTACCAATCCTTTTAGCTTGAAGGAAGGTCTCTATTTCAAAGCCTAATTTGTCTACTACTGAATTTTGTTCAGAAAAACCAGACTGAGCTTCTTCCAGCTTCATCTGCATCCGCTCATCAAGCCATGATTCAGATATATGAAGAATCAACCGATCATGGTCAGCAGCTCCTGCCCAATCTTCATCAGATTTCTGCCTCAGTGTATGCACCTCTAGTTCATAGCTTTTTATTCCCCTCGCAAACTCATCACAAAGATCTTCCAAAAGCTTTCGTGATTTCTTTTCTCTTTCAAAGTCTTTCAAGGCATTAGAAAGAGAAGATTTTGCCTCAGATACTTCACGAGCTAACTTCCTGTGTAGACTCTCTGAACGTTTTCTCAACTTTCTCTCATCTTCTAGTTCATCCTTCACAGACTGTACAGCAGCATGAATCCGGTCTTGTTCCTTACTCTTCCTAACTAGTTTGTCTTCAGCAATCTGCTTCATCAAATCATCAATTTCGTGTTGATCTGCTTGCTGATCTCGAAGCAACTCCTTGATCCTCATACGGGCATGATCTAGTTCCATCTTCAATGCTTTTATCAATGATATATTAGACGCATGTTGTTCTTCCAGGCTCCAAATATGGTTTAGTACTTTTAGCAGTTCTGTAGATGTTTTGAGATTATAATGCGACTCACCGATCCTTCCTCTAAAATCTAAGGAACTACCAGGGGTGACTGCAGGATTGTAAGGTGCCACCTGAAAAAAGAGGAAGGGCTGTAAAAACTCTAGATGGATGGAATGTGGAAACTAAGTGGGAAAGACCTACAAAGCAAACCATACACGGCAGTGATTTCTAAGGGGGAATTCTTATAGAAGACTGATATTAACAGAAATAACACCAAAAACATCAGTGCGGAAGCTAACGGTAATCCAAATTTATTCACGATGGTTTTGATCTTAAATAACACCCTACTATGTCAATTCTGAAATTTCTAAGAAAAGCATAGGATATATGTAAACAAGTAATTAAGACACCATGAACATGCAACCATGCTATCTATCAACTTAGAGTATAATTGAACAAAGATAAAGAGTGAAATTTGAGGCATAAACTAATGAGACAGTAGTCAGAGTATAACCAATATGAACCAACTTGATCACATGGCTCAAGCTTGTCTACACATGAAGGATTTATAAAAAACATTCTTCCCAAAACTCTAATTTAAATAGCTTTAGTCGAGGTATCAATTACAAAAAGAAAGAAAATCACTTTTCGTATTCAGTATTTATTCTACAGATAGTACCTGTTTTCAGTAGGAAAAAAAGAAGATTTACCTCCATTGAACTGCCATAACTTGCAGGAGATACAGGCTGTAAGGTATGATTATTTTTTCCAATTGATCGATGGTGTTTCATTAGTGTTTGAGCAACATGCCTCCTCAAACTGCTTGAACTCTCCGGCTGATATAAGAAATAAAACAGAAAAATAAGTAACAGAAGGTATTGATTCCACCTCTGATAACTCTGTATCTTCATTCTTACAGACGTGGCTGAAGACATTGTATTGAGGCCACCAACAAAAGGATTAAATCAACTAATTCTTTGTTGGGTCTCTTTTCATGAAAATGATCAATTAAATGACTCTCACTTCTCACTATAAACCAACTTCTTCCAAATCTACAATATACTTAACCATCATAGACAAAATATAAGTTATGGTTCACAGAAAAATGCTATTAAACATTTAGGATTCAAGAAATACTCAACAGCCGATACTTTAACAAAATTCAAAACTTAAGGCTAATTAATCAACTATTGAATTTTTAAAGCAGTCAGTGCCCTCGGGCTCCCTATAACAGAGTAATGAAGGGCCACCCAACTACCAAATAACCGCTTCACCAACGCCACCAGATTTTATAGTATCAATCGTGAATTGACTGCCTTAGTTTTTTTTGTTAAAATAAAAATCAGTGAGCAGACAAACAAACAATGCGTTAGGATACAAAAAATTTAAATGCCAGCATAGAATGATGATTGTCAGATACTAATATGAACTAAATTGTAAGAGAGATCAATCAGAACCACAAAACCAATAGCAGAGTTGAAAAATATTAGAGGAACTCTCCATATGGAAACAACAAACCCATAAACCAGGAAATCCTTTCAAATCTAGAAAAACCCTTCACGTATTTCATGTTTGCTCATATAATTACACAACCCTTGACATGAAAAAACTCCATTAGGTTTTGAACTGGTTAAAATCAATTGACAAAGCAATATTTTCCAATAAAAATGAATAAAATAAGAAACAAGACATTCATAACAAATAATCTAACCGAAAAAAAAAAAACAATTATCAAAGAACCAAGACGGTAATATGAGGACAAAAGAGCTAGTCCTATCAACATAAACTGTAAACATCATCCATTATCAACATTGAAGCATCTCAGCCCAAATAAAAAAAAAAAAAAAGAACAAACCATGTACTACATGGACAAACAAGTATCATAATTTACCACACCCAAAACTCCAAATCAATCAACATCCATCCCAGCAACTAATAGATCGAAATACCCTTTAAAAGAAAAGTAGCATACAACTACGAAAATACACATACACTACTTGTACATAAACAGAAGTATGGAACAAAAAACGAAGTACCCGGTCAGGATCAGAGCTGGGGCAAGGATCAGCCAAGAATTGAGAAAAGTCAATGCCTTTATCCTTAAAAAGATTGTTGTGGTGGCGTTGGTGGTACCGGCCATTACTGTTGTTAACACCACCTCTACGCATTTTAGGTTGATGATGAGGAAGGTATTGATGAAACTCCCAGAGGGATGCAGCTAACTTTCTTGCAGACACAGTGGCAGGGGGAGGAGGAGGAGGGATATTGTCACGATGATGAAGGTTAGCCTGAGGCTGAAGGTGGTAAAGTTTCCAAGAAGGGAGTGGAGTACAAGGGCCCCCTCCTTTCCTATTCCCTACCAATAATACCCTCCTACTCAACTTTTCACACAAGTTTTCCCCCTTTTCTGCTTCTCCACTTTTTTCTTCCCTTTTCATTTCTCTCTCTCTCTCTCTTTTCTTTCTCCCTAGCCTTCAAAAGGGTTTGTATTTGTATAACTATTATTACTACTGTTTTCTTTTCTTTTTCATCTATTCTTTTCACTTTCTTTTGCCCTGGTCTAGTTTTTGGGTGAAATTTTGTTCTGTATGGTGGGTATTTTCTCTCTTGTTTTTTTTTCTTACTTATTTACACTATTTTTTGTTTCTCCTTCTGCGTAAGAGACCTAGTAGTGTGAATCTGTGATTGATCTTCCAGGGACAAAAGAGGTTTATACTTTATACGGGGGAGTTGGTTGGATTACCTGTCAAGCATTTAGTTGGATCACCCGCCAAATTGTGACTGCACGAAGCTGGGGGAAGCTAAAAATAATAGTAAAAAACTTTGATTACTCTGGTAATTTACTGAAGGGGTAAATTAATTCACAAGTGTTTGGGGAAAAAATAAAACATGTTAATCCATCCTTGATCCAACCACTAATTATCATCATGAATCTTAAAGGAGATGGCCACTGTGAATTTTTATAAACCAAGAAAATGCCATAGCCAGGCCAGATTGTGACAGGATTTGGCCATTCACTTGTTGCATTACCATTTATTTACAGCTGCTTGATTTAACTATATTTTTATTTATATTTAGAGTATTAAAAAGAGACGGAAGTTCCTAAGCTACTCCGTTATACAAAGACCTTCGGTCGGTACAGAGGTGTTCCTGCGATCAATTCGATTAATTTTGAATTAAATTATTTAAAATTAAAGTAATTAAATTAAATTAAATTATTTTTATTAATTAAATTAAATTTATAAAATTTAAAAATTAATCAATAGAATTTAATTTAATCTATTTAATTAGTTTTTTATTAACTGAATAATAAATATATTTAAGTTAAATTATATTTTAAATTTTAAAATTTTCATATTTTAAATAAATTAAATAAAATTATTTAATAAAATATTCAAATACTAAAGTATTATGTTAAAAATTTTAACAAGTTATGAAATTAAGTGATCTATTTCATATATTTTTTATTTTATATTTGAATTATGTTATATTTTGATTAAAATTTTAATTAATTCAATTTAAAAATCGAATTAACCAAAAATTGAAATTCTTCTAAAATTATTTTTGTTAATTAATCGAAATTAATTCGATAGTCAATCAATTAATTGAATTAAATTGATTCGATCGGTTAATTCGGTAAAAATCATAATTATTAGAATCAAACTTGATAACATATCGTTTAAGGTTTTGGGTCATCAAGTCAATGGTTCAACCATCAGATCAATGGATCAATTGTCAGTTTAATAAAAAATATTTTAAAAATATAAATATTTTAAAATTTTAAAATTTTAACTAAAGTTATAATTTAATAATTCAACTATAAAACTATAAATTTTAAAGTATATCATAAACTACAAATTTTAAAATATAAAATTCATAGAACAATTAATTACTAGTTAGAAATAAAATAACTTAACATTTTATTAAAATCATATTTTATATTTTAATAGTTAGAAATAATATTTATATTTTAATAAATATAATAAATAATAAGTAATAAATAATTATTATTTATATTATTAAAATATAAATATATTTATTAATATATAATAATTAATCTTTATGTAATAAAAAGAATAACTATATATAAAATTAATAAAAAGGAAATATTTATATTTCTATGAAAAATAGTAGAAAGAAAATTAAATTCATTTTTATATTTGTTATATGAATGTAGATTTTTTTATTAATTTTACATATATATTTTTTTATTAATTATTTTTTATTTATAGTCAAATAATTAATTATTTTTGTTAATATTTTAATTTTTTTATTAGTTTTATATATTATTAATTGATAATTATTTTTAATTATGGTATCAATTAATAAAATTTTTTGTTAGATTATTTTTTTTTTAAATTGCTTATTTTTATACATGTATAAATTTTTTTATAATATTATAATCCATGTGTCAAAATATGCTAACATATTATTAATATGATAATGCAAGAACTTTGATAGTAAAAAATAAGAATCGGGGGCTTATTTAAATGAAATAGTAGTATAAATGTTTAGTTAGATTATTTTGAATATTTGAAGGGTTTTTTTTCATATGTTACCTAAACTTATTAGTTGGTATTGAACCAGTTTGGTTAAAAAAAAATTGCCTGGTTTACTGGTTTATTATATAAATCTGTGGTTCACAATAGTTTAAAACGATTTAATTACAAAATTGGTCTAATTACAAAATCAGATCGATTTCAACATCGGCTTACTAGTTCATTTGGTTAGATCGGCAATATAGTCTGGTTATGATAACTATGGTAAAAACCAAATTATGAATACCCTAGGTTGGCAATAATCAAAGTAATAATGGCAAATGGCTATTGGCTTAGGTAAGGTTTTTTTTTCGTGTTGTGTTAGAGTTCATTTGTTCCTTCTTAATGAATATATACACACACACACACACTAACAATTGGATTTGTTTTTCTTTTAATCTTCATTAGTAATTGAGGTCTGGCTTTCTTTGGTTTGTTGTATTAAATTTTTATATTTTGTTGAATTAATATTTGATTGAATTAGAAGTTAGAGTAAGTGGATAAAAGTTTTTTAAAATAATTGGAAAAAGAAAGTAACAGTAATATCCAGTAAAAAATGTTAATTGTTAAATTAAAACGTTAAATGAAAAATCATTAAACAAAAATATTAAATAAAAACTGTAATCAAATGCTTAGTAACTGATCTTTAAGTGGTTATCGATGATAAATTTTTTTCATCCTTCTGAGAATGATTTGTTTCTGTTATTGTAATATATGGTCCAAAATTTTTTTTTTCAAGAAGTATAGAGTAATAGAAGAATAATTGTCTAGCAGATGTTTATATAAATAATTTGGAATATACTATAGAAACAATGTGATAAGAAATAGTTAGTGGAAATTTTGAATATATGTTTTGTTATATTATGTGATAATAATATATATGTAATTGCTTATCAAGATAGGATGAAGATTGACATTTGTACTAGTTATTAAGCAATGAAAAATAAAAGAATCATAATAATCATCATTTTCATCTTTCACATAATAAGATCGAGTATTGTAATTGTAGACATCAAATTTTATCTAGGCTTTTAAAGTTAGGCATTGATTTTACTGAGTAACCTTAAATTTATCGAGTTTTATTAAGTTTTTTGGGCTTGAGGCCTAATTTCAATTTCTTAGGCCTAAGGCTTAAGACAGAGCCCATCTGAGGGCTCTTTCTGTTTAACTTGTTTGAATTTTATTTGTTTAATTTTTTTAAAATTAACAAAAATAATAATTAATAAAAAATAAAAATAAAAAAATAAAAAAGAGTAAAAGTAGAAATCAAGAGTTGGTAGTGGGTGCCATGCACGGTACCACTAACAACCCTGCCCTTAGAACCAACCCTTTTACCATGCCCTAAGCCACCACTTGCTTATAGCCACACCAACCCTACCTCCACCTATTCTTCCACCTACTCCTTGAGACACCTAACCTGACCTGCCCATTGCCCAACTACCACCATCCCTTGGCAGCATGAATTATGGCTTGGGAACATGAGGCTTACTCTCATTCAAGCCCTATAAAAAGAATTAAAAAAAGGGAGAAAAAAAGGTTGGTTGGAGGATACCATAAAAAAAAAGAAAGGAAAATCTTACAAAAAAGGCAAAAAACCAAAAAGACCATAAAAAAAGGATTTCTGTTAGAACAAAAAAAAATCCCACACCATTGCAAATCAAACAAAAAAAAATCATAGTTCTTTTGATACGAAACCTAGCATTGTGCAATCATAAAAAAAATCAACAGAGAAATAAAAAAAATAAAAGGGGAGTTAAATTTTTTTTTAGGAAAACCAAAGGGTTTCAAGGTCGATCTAGGGCTTTAGATTTAATTTTGGGTGAAAAAGAGGCTGGATCTAAAAAGAGAAGGAGAAAATAAGAATTTTGGTGCTTTTTTTTTTTTGGGTTTTCCAATGACTGGCATGACATTTGATGACCACTTATAGTGAACTAGGTAATAGCCTGGGTGGTGAATGGTGGTCTCTTCTGGGAATTGGTCAGCCCTTTAAATTTTTTAGTTAAGAGGTTTTTGGAGAAAGAGGGAGAAATGAGTTAAAGAAAAAAGAGTATTGTATAGGTAAATAAGGCTAAAACGACATCATTTTGGCACCCCAGGATCGGTCCGTTGACTCAACAACCCAACCCGGGGTTTATGCATCTGATCTGATGACTTGGCTCCCCCTTCAGCACCCAATTAGTCTAGTTGAACCAGCATTGATTGGTCGAGTTCAAATACTTTTTTTAATTTTTTAATTTTTTGATTTAATTTTTAATTTTTAATTTTGTCATTTTAAGTTTATTATTATTATTATTATTAGTTATGCATGTTTAAAATTTTAAATTTGATAGGATAAATATATATTTAATAATAATAATAATAATAATAATAATAATGAAAACAAAAAAAATGAAGATAAACAATGAATAATAAAGTTTAAATTTTTGATAATTTTATTAAAAAATTAAAATAAACTTTATAAAATAAAAAATAAAAAATGATAATAATGATAACAATAAAAAATGAAAGTGATTTCAAAATTTTGATAATTTTAAATTTGGAAAAAATAAAGAAGAAAATAACCAAAAAATAATAAAAAATTATGAAAAAAAATTTTTTGCCTAACGATGGAATTTTCAAGTATTCTGAGTAGTTTAAAAATCTCTAGGTGAGAAAGATTTTTTTTTAAATACTAACAGTGTATTGGAGTATTTATGAAAATTTTCAATATAATAAAAATTTCTCTTTTCTTCAAATAATAATAAAATTAATATTAATAATAAAAAAGCCAATAAAAATTTTGAAATAAAATAAAATATGTGCATCAATATATTGTTATTTGCATTAAATGCATGATATAGTTTTTATGAAAAAAAAATATGAGCATTCGAGGATGAGATTCTAAAGTATTTTGAAAAGTGATACTCAATAAATCTCTAAATGAGAAAAAATTCTTTAAATATTGTCAATGTACTGGAACATTTTATAAATTATTTCAATAAAAATAGTTCTAATTTATTTTTCTTGAATAAAACAGAATAACAAAATAAATAATAAAAAAAACCCAAAACTTTGATAAATAAATGAAGTCAAAGAAATTATATTTAAACACTGAAAATAAAATCATTTTTTGTCAAGATTAAAAGATAACACGTAATTAATTGATAACATTTTAAATGGGCACTGTGGGGTGCTAATTTTTCTCCATACATAACTGACTCCCAAACCCAAATTATTTTGCATATCATAAAATTATCTTTTTAATAAATTTTAAGATTTTATTAAAATGATATATTTTAATAGATGATCAATCATACCTAGCCAAAAAGGATTGGTGACAACTCTATTTTTTTTCCTTTTCGTTTTCAAATTCATCGGGTGGCTCTAAAATTGTTACAATAATTTGACGACTCTATTAAGGAATGCCATTTTTTTAAGGAGTAAGGCCAAAAGTTAATTACATGTTATCTTTAATTTTGAT